GACAGGATCTGATCCCGGGATCTGTTACCTCTTTCTTTTCTCCTAAGCAGGTAAAAAGCAACTCAATGCTTTAGTTAGTCTTTTTGATAATTTCACGGGGAACATTGTGGTGGTTTTTACATTTAACTATGGACTAGTACCTCTTCCTGACCAAACATCATGACAACAAAATTGCCTTATAAGGGAAACCAAAAATCTGACAGATTCCACTCCACTGGTCAACTCTGAGCCGAGAAAACTGAATGAATTGAATTTGCTTCTTACATTTCCATCTTGGATTCCTGTGAAGCTTTGTGCATTTTTCCTGACAAAGAAGTTACTAAAATCTACTTTGATCGCTCTTCAGTCGATGCACACTGTAGGCTGAAATGCATTTTTTTCTTTGAACGTCTTGACGCTCTTGGAGACGGTTGGTAACAGTCTGCTGACTAAAGCGTAGCTAAGTATGCAGCAGTGTAGTGTCACTCCAACAGTTGTGGCTATCTATCAGCTGTTGCTGATGCCAGCAGAACAGACTTGAGGTGTGTCTTTGAATAGTTTAGGAGCGCTTGATTTAGTCATGGGACTTGTGGAGCCATCCGTGAGGCACGCAGGCTCTGACCTTTCGGTGCACCAGGTGTCGTCGATCTACTGCACCTCCACTGACTGACACAACCGACTTCTGACCTCTGCCTGAAGGAGATCACCTCTGGCTCCTAAATACATACAGAAAAATGGCTAGCAGTTCAGGAAATGTACTCCTGAGTCGACCCGACTGATTCTGCAGCTTCGTTCCCGCTTTAGATTGAGAAATTTGTTGAAGTCGCTTCTGTTTAGGTACTGAAATGTTAAATTCCAAAAGTTTTGCAACAGAAGATGTGCATTGAAATACACAGCATTGATTTACTTGTTTCTTTTTCATACACTTACAGCTTAAATAGCACATAGAAGGTAAAAAAAAAACAGACCAAAGGAGGTGAGGCAAGTTATTAGAAGATGCATTAGCTTTTTGTGCTGTTTTTCAGTTAATTCAAAACTGTTCTTACTTCTAATGCTCCTTGCAGTCTTTTGTGTCACATGGTAGTTCTGTCACTAAGTTAGCATTGGGCTGAATGGAGCGAATAGAAAATCATTCATCATACTGTGCTGGAGACTCCCTGCAGAGGTGGGAGGGGTGCAGGACAAGCCGTCTATTTATAACCCTTGCTGTGAAGGGAAGACAGGTGGTGAGACATTCAGACATTCAGAGAAACAGGACAGCAGCGAGGAAAGCATGTAGGCAGCACAGCTGACAGAGAGAGAGAGAGAGAAAGAGGGGGGATGAGACAGTCAGAAGAGGAGGAAAAAAGTAAGAAAGAAAGTCAGAAAAGGGAAGAAAGTCAGAATGAGAAGGTGCCTCCTCTTCACCAGAAGACTCATAGACAAGGCACTTGAAAAACTTGGAGAAATTCCAGACAAAAAACACGGTATGCATTACTTTCCAACTGCAGCAGATGAACATCAGATGACAAATACGTATCCTAGCTTGCAAAACTATTAAATCCAATTCTCAAAGCTCTTCTGATGTACGACACTCAGGACAAAAGTGACCCGATACTGCACGGTTCTGCATAAAATCCTAAACATGCAGTCTTAAAATCCTACAATAATTACAGATGCAGTGAAATAACACCTCGTCTCCACTTTGTCTCACCTCCTCTCAGACGGAGTAAGAAACGCAACCATGACGAAGAACGTGCACAACGACTACAAGATGAAGTTCACTCTGGACGACGAGTTCCCAGATCTGTCTCTGCACAACAACCACATGGCCAAGGTACAAGTCCTGCTCCGACGCCATCTAAACATGTTTCAACATGAGCTGACTGAGGCTTATTCAAGGCATCACTATTCTGTCCACATTCTAAAAAGCAAAAATGTTTTTAATGCTACTTTTGGAATGACCTCTAAAGGAATGCGTAATTTCTCACCTGCACCATGCGTCTTCTGTTTTAGGTGCTGAACAAGGACATCTACGGCAAGCTGAGGGGAAAGTCCACCCCCAGTGGCTTCACCGTGGATGACGTCATCCAGACTGGTGTTGACAACCCTGGTAAGAAGGAGAGAGTCGTCGGCGTAGAGTTAAACAAACCAGCAAAGATAGGGTTTGAGGAGACTTAAATTAAAATAGCAAAGTGTGAGTTATTCGTATTGACCTGAAAGATGAGACGTTTTAATTGCAACATACAGGGACAAGACGACCTTACATTCAATACAGCAATATGCCAGAACCAAAAATCCACTCACTGCAATCAGTGTTACCAAACTCCTCATCCTGCGTCTTGTCCACAAGGTCACCCCTTCATCATGACCGTCGGCTGCGTTGCCGGTGATGAGGAGTCCTACGAGGTCTTCAAGGAGCTGCTGGACCCCATCATCTCCGACCGTCATGGCGGCTACAAGCCCACCGACAAGCATCAGACCGACCTGAACTTCGAGAACCTGAAGGTGAAGACATGCATGGCTGTTATAGATTGTGTTTAAAGTCAAAATAGATAACTGGCTAGATAAAGTTAAGCAGTTAACCAGTTCTCTGAGGCAACACACTTCAAACATTTATCAGCAGGTGGAATAATATGCCAGCCCTACCTCACTGGCAGAGTGGAAAAAATGTGAAGAAAATGTAGAGATAAAGGGGAGATATCCAAACCAATGGCTCCAATATAATAACAATAATAACGTGTTGTTTGTCTGCCCCACACAGGGAGGTGATGACCTGGACCCCAACTACGTGCTGTCCAGCCGTGTTCGTACCGGCCGCAGCATCAAGGGATTCACCCTGCCCCCCCACAACAGCCGTGGAGAGCGCAGAGCCATTCAGAAGCTGTCCATTGAGGGTGAATGCCAAACCGCTAACAATAAGACCGATATCTGTAGAACACAGGACGTCATGTTCAGAGACTGACTTCCTTTCTCTGTGCACCTGTCTCTATCGTCAGCCCTGTCCAGCCTGGAGGGCGAGTTCAAGGGAAAGTACTACCCCCTGGACGGCATGACCGACGCCGAGCAGGAGCAGCTGATCGCTGACCACTTCCTGTTTGACAAGCCCGTGTCCCCCCTGCTGACCTGCGCCGGTATGGCCCGTGACTGGCCCGACGCCAGAGGCATCTGGTGAGAAACTCTGACGAGGATGTGGTTTAACCACAGCTCCCATGCTTTAAAAAGCAAAAGGGTGATCAGACGTGCTACAACCAACCGTAAAAACAGCTTTTGTGTGTCTATTTAAACACAAAAAGACAGAAATAAACAACCGCCCTCTGAGCTAAAATCCCCCATCTGCCCCTTTGTGTACAAACCCCTGAAACTATCACCATCTGTCTCTTTCTAGCAAAGCCATAGTATGAAAAGCCTGATTATTCCTGTTTTCAAACATCTGTTGAAGTGTGTCATGATTCCCACAGCTGCAGCGTTCACTGTCTCTCCTGTAAATCCGCCGCTGTGTAGCTCAGCGGGTCGGATAATTCACGTTATCAGGGCCACACAAACTATAAATCTACCAGTATTTTTTAACCAAAACTGTAAATGATACTCGTGCAGCGTTGTCGTATCAAGGTTCTGGCTTGTGAACATTTTCTGCTGCGTGTAAATTGAGCACATTTTCTTCCTGCAGGCACAACGACAACAAGACCTTCCTGGTCTGGGTGAACGAGGAGGATCATCTGCGTGTCATCTCCATGCAGAAGGGAGGCAACATGAAGGAGGTCTTCAGACGCTTCTGCGTTGGCCTGCAGAAGGTAATTCACAAAAACAGACTTTCACTTTATGCACATACTTAGCTAAACACAATTCAGTTCTGTGCTTGATTAGCAACTGCAACTATTATATTTCAACTTACTCTTCGCTGGTCAGATTGAGGAGATCTTCAAGAAGCACAACCACGGCTTCATGTGGAACGAGCATCTGGGCTACATCCTGACCTGCCCCTCCAACCTGGGAACCGGCCTGCGTGGTGGTGTCCACGTCAAGCTGCCCAAGCTCAGCACACACGCCAAGTTCGAGGAGATCCTGACCAGGCTGCGTCTGCAGAAGCGTGGCACAGGTACTGAAAAACAGCTGTTTGTTACGTTTTTGTTTTGAAGGTCAGGTGTGTATTTCCACGTTCGTAGGTTTCCTCATTGCAGGAAAAGCACGTGTGGCTGGATTGAGTCTTCATTTTCTTACCCGGCTCTGCCTCTGAGATTCAGTTCTCTCTGGAGATGATGTGCACCATGTGAGAGGATGGAGGTCTGAGTTTCATTCTTCCTCTCCGACCAGGTGGCGTGGACACAGCCTCCGTGGGTGGCGTGTTCGACATCTCCAACGCTGACCGTCTGGGCTCCTCTGAGGTGTACCAGGTCCAGCTGGTGGTTGACGGCGTCAAGCTGATGGTTGAGATGGAGAAGAAGCTCGAGAAGGGAGAGTCCATCGATGGCATGATCCCCGCCCAGAAGTAAAGTGGACAGACAACCCATGACCGAATGACTGTCTGTGTTTGTTTTTTTTTTACATTATAAAAAAATGAACGGTAGCCGTGTTGTAAAGTTATCTTACTGGTTTCGGCCGACTGGCTACTTTCTGCTTTCTTCTTTCCGTCAAAAGACACTCCACTTTTCTTTCTCCTTTCTCCTTCCTTTCTTACTTCTGTTAAACTTATTTTTTTCCTGCTTTTTCTTTGGTTCCTCTTTCTGATTTCCTTTAACTTTAAACATCTCTCTCCCCGTTCTCTCTGTAACATCCTGGGATCAATCCATGCATAGTCTGGTCGTGGCTATGTGTGCGCACCGAAGAAAAACTTTTTTTTTTTGGTTGTAAATTACAACTGGACTATTAAATGATGCCCCATTTGACAATCAAACTTTCTCCTTTATGTTTTCTTTTGCAACTGTGTGTAGTTTTGCTTACATAAAAAGATATAATACATTTTAACACGAGCACACGTAAACAAAACCATTGAAAACTCGTAGTTTTTGCTGCACGTTACGGAGAAAAAAATGGACACAAAATATGAAAGAGGTTGAAAGTCTTTATTTTTGTGTCACACATTATTTCCTAGGAGACATGCAGGATTGCAGGTCGATCATTTCCGTAATTTCAGCCCATAAGTTAAGTTTTATTGATAACAGCGACGGCTTCAAACACACTATACAACAGAACTGTAGCCTTAAAGCGTGGCCCTAACCGTATCTAGAGAACAGCCTCGATGGGGGAGAGGGAAGAGGCACAGTTGTACACAAAAAAAAATAAAGTTTAAAAAAATAAAAATAAAAAGCAAAACTAGCCCTAAATCACAGCTTCACATTTTCAGACAGTGGTGGACACCCGCTGCAGCTCAAATCTCCCATCAAACAGTTAAATCCCGTCGTAAAGATCACAAGTCTGCTGTAACATCGAACTCTTTTTTTTTTTTTCTCCCCATATCAGTGTTTCGTTAGACGCTGCATACTTCGAAAGTTATAATTGCTTGGCTTTACAGAGTTACAATATAAGTACAACCTTTCTGATTTTGAAGTTGTCAGTGTCAATGCAGCAGAAAACATGTTCGACGTAGCACTTGGTGGACTCTGAGTGTGTTTGTTAAATCTTTGTAGCTTGGTTTCGCGATGAGCATAAAAGTGCTTTTACAAAAGAAAGAAATGAAACTTCTTAAGGGTCGATCGAGGTGACATTCCCGTCTTAAACCGGCTGCCTCATCGCCGCGCGGCGGCGGCTTGACGAGGCAGGGGGTCTGATTGGTTAACAGTCATAAACGTCGTACAACAATACTTGAATCTGATTGGTCAACAGTCAAAATTCTCTGCAGCGCTGCAGTCTGATTGGTGAACGTTGGGAGAGTCTACAGTTTGCATGTCGAGGTTAGAAACACAAAGCGAACGTTATACCGGACAAATGAAAAGCAAACCTTTACAGGTCGTTGACATTTGGTCCTGGTGCATCAGATAAACACGTTATTTGTACCTCAGTTTACCCAATTTAACACTGAAACCAAATGGCACCAAGAAACCACAGCTGGTTTCACGATGGAAAGCAAAGACACCATTGTAGGTATGTGAAGCGAAACAAAATGAAAAAAGGCATTCAGAATTATTCTCCATAAAATTAGTTGCAGAAAAAAGTACAGATTGTTTAAAAACTCTGCCAGTACAGTTCAGTGAAATACTGGCGAAAAAGCAAAAAAAAAAAAAAGTGCTCAATCATTTCAACAACATACCAGCAATATCAAAAATAATAATAATAAAAAAGGAATCAAACAAGGAGCCCTGTTAGGTTTTAATCGATGCTTATTCAAGTGTTGCTTCTTGGCTTCGCGGCTGTATTGCACTACACTCAACGACGCGATGGCTTTCTGACAGACTGTGATATTTTAATGTCAAAGTGCTACCAGAAGAACGACTGTTCAACTCCTCCGTTTGCTCTGAACCAGTACGAGCTACAGTAATCAAGAGAGTGGGAAGAAGAGGTCCAACAATTATTAGATCAAATCAATCTGCGATGAAGAAAACTTTAAGGTCGCCCGTTAAGAAGTTCTGCCCGTCTGAGCTTTTTAGTGGATCAGGTTTGTAAAGTATGTCTGCACTGGATTCGCAGGATTAAAACTTTTTGTATTTTCACACTTTGTTAAATTACCATCACATGAGGTTAACAGAAGGATCAGTAAAGGCTGTTTTCAACCACGCTCAGCGAAAGCACACGACACGTGCTGAAAACTTTCACCAACATGTTCATTTTTTGTTTGGAAATTTGCTGTAGCTTAAATGTATTTAGTTAAATTATTCACTTTAACTGAAAATGAGTTTAACGGCAGATTAGTGTCATAAAGGTGTGTTCTGATCGGGCTGCTGCTCAGGTGAACAAAGTGGTGCAGACTGAGGCATCACGCTGTGTAAGAAAACACAAAATGAATTCTTTGAACCATCAAAAAGCTTTTTAATGGTCAGTTTTTTTGGAAAGGGCTTTCACTTTCTAATAACCGGTTGAACATGAGTATTCGTGAGGAGCATATTTGCGCTCAAATGAACTACAGTGTCCAGTAAGAAGCTCGACTGCTGGCTGTCAAAACGCCGGACAGCCGGCAGAGGAGCAAACATGCTAACGGCGTGAAACACGTCAAAATCCAACTGAGCAGAAACATGGATTCTGTGAATGTTTGGGCAGGAATTCAGTGATGCTTGATGCTCCGTTTGGTCTGTCACAAGTCTCTGCATTTCTGCATGTCTCCCTCTAGAGGCCGGAGGTCAGACTGAGCCCTCGCTACTTAAATATGTGACTTCCAATAGTGACAACAGATGTCAAACGTCTGCCCGTTTCAAAAGCGTTAAAGAAAGAAAATAAACTTAATACACACAAACAAAATTAAAACATTTCTTTAAATAGCAGCTCTTTAAAAAGGAATGATGACAAATATGATACAATAGGAACAACAACGTCAACAACAACAACTCATCGCTCTCCATCATTCTCAGCAACCATCCGCATCATCATCAAATATGAAATCATGAAAAACAAACAAAAAAAACAACAGTTCATCTCCAAGGGCTCATTTAATGTGGAGGTGGTGGCATGTGTTAAGCAGGGGTCGTAGGTCACTGACAGCTCCAACGTCAAGGGTCATCGTAAGTCAGCCGACGGCGGCCAATCTGTGCATCCGTTTGTCTGGCTGTGATTGGTGGCATCAGAAGAAGAGGGTCTTTGGCGGAGGTGAGGCATCGCTAGCCACATCAGATGAGGTGGAGCCCAGGAAGGAAGAGAAGGCGGCGATGGCTTCTGCCCCTCCTCTTCGTCCCTCCTCATCCCTCAACCTGTCCTGTCTGTCATCAATCTGCCCCACCTCCGGTCGTCCTCAGAGCTCCAGCTCCTTGGACACTTTGGTGGCGATGTCTCTGAAGGCTAACGGTGCCCCCCACAGGCGCTTGAACCTCACGCCGCTGCTCTGGCCCAGCCCGCTGGGCAGCTGGCAGACCTCGGCCTCGAAGGCCACTCGGGCGCCGGCTGCTCCGTGGGTGCAGGACAGCAGGAAAGGCCCGGCCAGGTGGACCTGGCAGCCGCAGCCCTGCGCCGCCTCACGCAGCGCGAGCACCACCTCGGCCGGGTCGCGGGGGCTCCGCACCCTCACATCCCAGCCGCATCGGGGGGTCCGGGGCTCGGCCGCTTTCTGATGCCCAGATAGATGGCGACTGCAAGAGGAGGGAGGGAGGGAGGGGGGAGGCGACGCAAATGGAGGAGGACATATGGGAGGGTTTATAGATGGAGGGGTGAGGTTGATGTGGGAGGGTTAAACAAAAACCAACATAGGAGGTGAGGATGGGAGGTCAGATATAAAAGTAGGAGACGAACACGTTCAAGGATGATGGAGTTCATGTTTGGGGGAGATGGATGTGAGGACAAGTGAATGAATGTGTGGTTGTGAATGTGTGAGTGGTGAGGGGGAGGGGAGAAGAAGAAAAACAGTTAGTATCATACATGACTGGAGTCTGATTCCCAGAACACACACACCTAAATGTGTATTATCTAGTCTTATTATTATGCTAAAAAATAAGCAAATTAAACCCACCTGAAACCTATTCATCTTATGAATAGTAAGGGTCAAGTTGTGACTTTATACTTCAGTACTAGCTAATAACTAACATGCTACACACACATGTTCAGAAAATGTTTCTAACATGCTAAACAGATTTACACTCTTCACAGTTCAGCTAACACCACATCTCAACACATCAACCTGCTGAATGAAAACTATTATAACGTTTTTCTTTTCTGTAAATCCATCATCTTAGTTCTACTTGCAGGGATCACAGACATGTCTACAGACACACCACAGTCTGTCAGATAACCACAACCTGCTGCTGCTGCTGGTTTACCTGCTGTTTTTAACCTGAGACTGGACTGGAGCAGCTGAGGCTGAGAGGAAGGACAAGATCTTCAGCAACAAGCTCAGACTCATAACTCTGAAATTAATCTACAGAGAGATCGATAGCGCTTCTATAATTTATGTTGCAGTGGTTTCACGCTGCTTCAAAGGGGCTTTTGTTGAGTGTTTGGCACGTAACCTAGAAATAATACAAACAAGGCCCGACAGCGATTAAAAAAAGAAAAAAAAAGAAGTGCTCGTCATGGTTAATTCTAGTTAAAGTGTTCGGCTTTAATCTTTAATCGGAGTGTCTCTGCATTATTAATACGGTGAGATGCTCGGCTGCCTAAACACTGTTGTATGTGACTGTAGTCCATGTAAAGAGTAAACAGGAATTAACTCTGTGCACCAAAATAAAAGCTCTCAGATAAACGACGGAAATCATTTACTCCATCATGCAGTGTTTTCAGGTTACAGATATATGTAGAACTACAGCAAACGGGTGATAAATAATCATTAAAATTAAATGTTCTTGATGCCGATTAGCTCTTTTTTTTATAAGATCTGACATGAAGCAGTATTTCTTTTCTGTTTAATGAGAATGTTTGTAAGTAAATGACTACATATGGTGCCTTTTATTTTATTTTATTTCCTTATGTCCGCAGTAAATGTAATAAAAAATAGAAAATCACCTCATTTGAATGTTTACACGTGAACAAAATGACTCAAGATCTGTGCTGGATTTATAATCCAGCTCCCGCTTTGGACCAAATTCAAAAGTGTGACCGCACGATGATTTACGAGCTGATCGGAATTAAAAAACATTAGGTGTTAATTACACACCAGTGTGATTGCTGTGATTCTCTGTTTGTAATTTATACCTCGTACTGGTTAAACTGGATCAGATGAGTCAGTCTGTAAAGACACAGAAGAACTCTGGAAAGTTCTCCCAGACGTGTGGAACAACCTACCTGCTGATAAACTGTGAGCACCGAAGAGAAGAGGATTTACACCAAATACTAATCGGATTTTTTTTTTCTTTCTTAAATTTCTTAAAAACCAATCATGACATTTTTTTTTACTTTTAGAGCTTAAACACTGGGACAGTATGTGAGTTTACACATACAGTCACAGAACAAATCTTTACTCATGTGTCGTATTAAGACGTTAAAGAATCTCCTTAACTGAGAATTTCATCAAACTGGGAACTCGTCATTGCTGCACATGACGATAAAGCCTCTGAATCCTTAATACGTCCAAATCAAGAGATTTTCCTTTATTCTAAAAGAGACTTAACAAAAGCTGTAACGCCCTCATGCACACAAAATGTGTCATCGAGGAGTAAATTAGGAACTCTAGCATCCTAATCCGCTCATATTGCGGCAGACACGTGAAATTATTCGACTGTTGCACTCCGGGTTGGGAAAAAGTAAAAAAAAACGTGAACTCACCTTGTGACCGGAGATCTGCTGATTCTCTCAGGTTCGTCTGTGACCCTCAAGAAGAAGACAAACGTATCCGTTAGGAATCAATCGGCCAATCGGCTCCTCACACAACCCACCCCCCATCCCCCCTCCACTTCCTGTTTCAGTGCACTAATGGGCAGCCACAATCTTTGTCAACCAGTCACGACACAGAACACGACAACTCATCTCCAAGTCACAGACGGATCACCGACCACCCACTACACCGAGACACCGGATGAGACGACGACGTGTCAGAGTCACCGACAAAACAGGTGAGGAGGGTAAACGAATGCAGAGGGGGGTGGATCTGGACTTGACAGACAGACAGTATAATGTGTGTTACAGTGACGCACACAAACACAAATCTGATGCTGGTACGAGCACAAGTTAGTGAAAACGCTGGAGATCTGATGGGATAAGGTTTCACAACTCCTTCTGTCATTTGCATTTCACAGTTTTTGTTAGCTACGGTTTGTTAAACAACAATAGGTAGCAGCGAACATCATCCCTCAGCATTAATAAACACGAGAAACTGTTCCATTATGACCCTAAAACACTGAAGACAACTCTGGATCCCGTGCCTGTATATCGACACTACACATATTTTAAAACCCCACATGTGACCGTAGTTTATTTTATAAGGAACCTAAAGTAGATTTGCCCAATCGGCATCCATTGTGTTGCGAATTAGTTAGGTTTGGTTGAACTTTTTTTACTCTTTCCACTCATGTGTGCACCACTTACGCTGACAACATTCCTTTCTACATTTCAGATTTGGTTGAAGATGGTTTGAAATGGTGACAAATCACTATTGAACTTAATGCACTTCCCGTCTCTGGCCACCGGGGGCTGCTGTTGCTATCTAGACCGAGGGCTTTCCCACCAACCTGGCAACCTGATCTCTTTTCCAGGAAGTAGCCTGAACCAGCAAAGCAGTGAGATTTCATTGATAGATTTTATTTTTCTTAAACCGCAAATGAAACCTATCCTAATGCGACCCCGGCTCTGACTGAGAAGCTGCTGCGGCTTTAACCAGATCTAAATAAATTGCTTCGACTGTGTGAATCAGCGTTTTGGCTGCGTCACCTCTCTTAAAATACTGGAGTCGGTGGGGTGGGGGGGGGAGAGATCCCTGCTAATCCTCACAGATAATCACTGGGATACGCCTCAGTGTTTATGAATGAATGCTATCCAAATAATGATACAGCAAATATCTGGATGGGAATTCCTGCTGGATTAGGAACACTTAACCTCATCCTGGCGACTCAGCAGTTGGCAACATACGACTCTTAACAGCATTACACGGTTAATAAGCAGGTCGCTGGGAAAATGGTGACTTTTAAGGTCATGCTGTGGAGTCTTATATCAATACAGGCCTCATGTAAACGACCTCGCCTTCTTGTCTGGGTAAAGACAGTGACTGATAACACTCCTCCCTCAGTGACCGACGCCAAGGTGCCCTTTGAGCAACACAAGTGGCATCACATCTTAACGCAAGAATGAAACGAGGGAAAATCGATGCACGTGTGTGGTGACAGACTGAACAGACTCCGGCGCTCTGACTCAGTGACTCTCTGTGTATAAACTGTAAAGTATGTGCAGCAGATTGTGCAAAGGAGGAGCCGAAAGCGAGGGAAGGAGGGAGAGAAGAGCGGAAAGTTGGAAAAGAGAAAGAGAGAGAGAGGAGAAGAAACGAAAGCAGAACAGAGGGAGAGGCAGACAGGGAGGCTAGCAGCAGTGTAACAGAACAATCTGCTTGTATCTTCAGGGAGAGCTGTGTAAGATCCCTGTTTAAGAGAAGGATAAATCCTGGTTACATAACTAATCCTGACTTAAAACGGCAGTGACGCTGGGTCAGTCAGTCAGGATGACTGTAGCGGGGTGAGGTGCTTCTTAGAAGCGTCTGCTAATGCAGAGGGTTTAAAGTGTGTGTGCCGTATACTTCTAATGCCACGGGTTCAAGCCTGCAATGCAGCAGACGGAGTTCTATTCACCTCTTGCACCATTTTACCCAGACAGGAGTTTTCACAACCTAGACTGTGCTACATCAAGAGTGTCTCTAGGTTTCCTTTGGCTTTGCCCCTGTTGAACCCCAGAGTCACACTGCAGTCCACATGACCTCATATGTACAGCAGCACACTGTGTGATAACAAAGGGAAGCTCAATCTAACCTCAGATTAGAAGAAAATGTAGAGAGAAATTGATTTACTCAATCTGAAACGAGCCAACTTATTGATTAGTTTACTGTCAGCGAGGAAATGTTGTCATAGATTAACTTTTAAGAAACAAACTTCTGTGAGTCCAGCTTCTAAATAGCTGCTGGTTTCCTTCATTTTCTGCAGCTGCTAACTGAATATTGGGGGTTATGGAAGGTTATTCTTTATGGGATAAACAGGTCGATATTGGCCAGTCACAGTAACGGCGTGTGTGTAGCCTGACATGCTATGATATATTAAAAAAATATATTATTTATTGATTTTTTTTATATATAGACCACAGCGCAGAAAAATATGTTTAGAAATAGTGTCATCACATAGTTTGTCCAGCAGACGAGAGGCCGGCGGGGCGATGACTTCACGGTAAGTTAATAAACTATGACACCATCATCTTCCCTTTTCAATATAACCGGGGCATTTATGTACATAAATAAAGAATATCAGCCCCTGAAATCGATCCCAGAATTCTTTACTCCTTAAAACTGAGTCAGTCTCACACGATTATTCAAGAAGGAAAATCACTATTAGCTGCAGCCCTCACGTATAAAGTGCACTGAAGAAGTTGCTTTATTAATAATTTACCTTTTTCAAGTCTCCCTCAGCCTAAACCACGACATCTTGTGCTCACGCTGGACTCTGGTCTCCTGATATTGCTCTAAAACATTTGGTTCTGTATCTGTTACCAATCAAACTCTTTGATGTTGGTGATTTTTGAAGGACTGATGAGAAAACTCTTCATATGTTTGACTGGAACATTTTCCATCAGACCGGCTAAAGTTGTGCACGAGAGTGTAAAAACTAAAGCGTTAATGCGCTGCACATGTCCAGCTGTTGATTTTAACGGCGGCCGAGCTGCTTCTCTCGAAAGACAGAGAACGATCCGGTTCTTCGTCGCTGCTCTTCATACTTCACCCCCTACCTCAGTCTTGTATAAAACACCAATAAAGCACCATCCCCCCACTTTCCTGTCTGTCCTGGTTTCCCTGAGACTCCCCAGCCCTGCTGCAGGACCGCTGATTTGTTAACAGCATGGGCAAACATATGGTGTTGATTACATGAGTCAGACTAGTACAGTGGAGCTGCAATAAACTCACATTCTCTGGGGAACACACAAACAAACACACACTTACAGACACGCATCTTCATCTCGGGTTGTTTGTTCTACAGTTCTACCTACAGGAGCTCAGAGAGCAGCTTCACTGCACCTGATGCTAACATTTAAAACCAGCAGAAGGAAAACTTGAATAACGTCTCCCAACAAACCAACTTTCACCCCGTTTTGTTCCAGAAAACCCAAACTGCTGTGCGGTTTGTTGGAAGCAGGTAACGGTGCCGCACCGCCTACAGCCTCTAGTGAGCGCTACAGCTTAAAGCCGAGGCAGCAGAGACACAGGCAGTTCAGACAGACAGACACTCAGGCAGACAGCTGCTGATCAGAGTTTTAGTAACACAAACACACGCTTTTGAGATAAAGCCGCTCTACAGGGAGAACAATCTGCGCAAACTGACTTAAAAATGTAATTTTAGTCACAGAATAAAGTGCGTTTAAACTGGGCCGTGACTTTCTAAGCCTCAGCTCTCGTATTCTGACTCCTAAACGTCTTTAGTCAGAGTTCATCCTTTAGCGTAAGCTTCTAAAGAGGTGCTCTGAATCTTGAGTTTGCTCTAACCCATCTCTGTCAGCTACTGAAGACACAGACCTGAGGTGGGATGAGTATTTACCACCGCAGCAAAAGGATCAGACATTATATTGTATACTGTAAAATAAGAGCTAATTTCTGCAACGCTTTTGGACTTTTAAAGACATGTTAAGTACAAATAATATGCAGCTTAATGCTTGTTTTACGAGTGGACAGCCAGAGGCAACACCACTGTTCTATCCACTTCCCGTTTCTTGATTGTATAATTAATAAAATTAAACACCCAATTTAAAAATGTATGTTTTAACCAATTAAAACAGTTGAATTCATGTTTTTAAGTCAAAGAGCATCCGGGCTGCCATCGCTAATCTGACTGAAATTCCACAAAAAAAACAGCCTCTCGTGTGCAAAATCTACCGTCGCAACGATCCCGCTTTTATTTTGAAGGTGTATAATGTCTCCTGACAACCTGCATTCAGACACAAAAACATCTTATAACTAACTGCCTGCAGCACGGAGGAGAAAATACTAAAAAGCTCCTGAAATTTAATGTCTTTTTTTTGGTGAAAATTCTCGTAGATTAATCGTAGCAACTGGACTTGCTTGAGTTCCTTGAAGGATTATTTTTCTTTAGGATGTAAGTATGTGGAACTCCCAACCAGTCAGTCAGAACTGATGAAGCCTCTTGGATGAGAGGTGGAACGTCTTCAAGGAACTCAAGCAGTTGCTACGATTAATCTACGAGATTAACCACGACCTGGACGACTGAGGATCTTCAAGGACATTTTGGAGAAAACCTTCTTTGTTTTTGAAGGATTATCTATAAGCTGCTTCTCGCTTCCAGAAGAGTAAATCGACGACATATGTGTTAATATTAAAATATGAGGAACACACTAATGACTAATGACCGTATCAGTGTTTATTATTATTTATTCATTCCATCCACTACTATTGGGAGGAGAAGTAATTAATAAAGATCACGCTTCATGTGGAAAACGTCAACAAAAACCTGGAACACATACTTTGCTCATGTTTTGTTCTAGCAACGTTCCTGTTTTAGTTCAGATGAGTCTTTTTTTTTTGAGGTCAGAACCCACGAGGTTGAACTCTGATTGGATTCCTACCTGCAGAGTAGCTTTGCCTCAGATAAAAGTTTGCATAACTAAACTCCAACCTGCAACAGACAGCGAATGAGGGACAGAGGGTATGACGGGGGCACCGGCAGGCAGGCAGACAGTCAGACGGACGGACAGAAGCAGCCAGAAAACATGGGAAAGGAAGACTTACTAACTGTTTTTGTCCCCTGTGGGAGGGTGCAGCCCGACATGGACTTGTTTGAGCTCTGACGTTTAGAAGGGTCAAGAGTGACCCTAGGAGGAGAGAGGAAGAAGAGAGAGGAGGTGAAGAGAGGAGGAGAGGAATGGAAAAAGGAAAATTAGAGTCAGAGAGACATCGAATGAGAGAAATAAAAGCAAGTGAAAGAAGGAGGTTGGGAGTGGGGAAGGAGGAGGAGGACGACACAGAATGACGGACAGTAAGAAGCACAGGTAGAAAGAAAGGAGGTAGAGAAGTACAAATTAAACAGTGTGTACTGCAGTTCAGGAGAAAAAGAAGGATAAGAGACCGGCAGGTGACTGGCAAGAGAAAGCCCAAGTTGTTAAAGAATCAAACAAACAAACAAACAAACAAACAGATAAAGCAACAATAAGCAGCCAAGAAGAACTGACTGTAAAAGACATACAGTGTGTCGACCCGACCAGCAGACCTGGGTCTAACCGGGCATCTGCCGTCTTCAGCTTTAGATTCAGGTAAAGTGCAGGTTATGCAACTGATTTCTGTTTTAGTTTACGTACTTTCCTTTAACTGCACGTGATTGGTTAATCTGTGTGTGTCCCAAAGACACCAAGACACTAAAAGCAAGACATCAGCATCACGACCACAAGACAGAATATAAGGGCACTTCATATTTCACGCTGCAAAATTCTCACTTTCTACCGTCTCTGTGTTATAATATATTGTAAGACATGTACATTTGCAGCCGCAGAAACCCCCATAACCAAATCTAAACCCTAAAAATTCAAAGTATTATCTTCTGTCCTGTTTGTCTCTGTTGTGAACCATAAAGAGCAATGTTCAAATCCAGTTGTGCACATGACAGCTGAAAGTATTTCATCTGTCCTCTTCTAATTAATCATTATATTCATGTTTCTATGGATTGATTTTATCTGCCTCTTTGCTCGTCATGTAATCGATTAATAATTGTGTTTATGCTCTGTGGACTAATTTATCCGTCTTCTTATAGTTTTGTGTGAAGCAATTACCTCGGGTACGAATTGTGCCGCACAAATAAACCTGCCTCGCCTTGTACAAGAAATACGTAATTTAATTTAACTGTCTCACGTCTTTATTTTGCATCCTGTTGACTTTCAAGCGTTGCAGGGAGCAGCTAGCAACGAGCAGAAGTCTCATGAAACACACTCTGTTAGACCCAGGTCTGACATTAAGGAGGACAAGTTCTGAAGCCTGTAAAAGCTCAATCATTAGAGAAGGAAGGCTGGTAGGTTAGTACTGGTTAAGGAAGAGACGGTGAGTGGCAGCAAGGTTAGCTAAATGATCTTTATGTACAGGCTTATAGCAAAATGAGCCACACTGGCTGCACACACGCCTATAAACAAACAGGCCTGTACAGGAAATCTGCTGTCACTTCACCAGCACTGGTTAACACATACAGCCCTCACAGATAGTTGTAAAACTCTGAATGAGTCATGAATCCTACGATCTCATTCCAACTCATAAAAACCTACGTACTCCTCGCCCTTGTTCTCCCGGCTTCTCCCCTTACCTGCGGGTCAGCTTGGAGGTGAGTTTGCTCAGCAGGTTGGAGGTGGCCCGGGTCCTGGCGTGGGGCAGCGGGCTGGCGTCGTGGGACGGCGTCGGGGACGCCGGGGGCGCGTGGGAGGGAGGCCGACGGTCCCGGATCTGCCCCCCGTGGAAAGTGCTCCTTACTGTGGATCCCCTGGAGAGGCGGGAGGAAGGCGTGGAGGACGAGGAGGAGACCCCGGAGGCGCCGGCGATGCTGTGGGTGGAGGGGGAGGCGGGGGGGAGGCGGTGGGATAGGGAGCTGGAGAGGAGGATGGGGGTGGATGCAGTTAGGATGGTTTCAGTTCAGTCGTACGAGTGCAGTAAGAAACATATTTCACATCACAGCGCCAAGTAATTTACTGCATTTTTGAATAAAGCTGAACATCTAGAGAGGAGGTCTCTGCATTTTAAATAGAATTAAAACATGCACAAGTTGCATTCATGTTAAATTAAAAATGCAGTGCTGTGCATTTTCAGTCAAACCAGCATCGATTCAAACTAAACTACATGTTCATTGTAAAGAAGGGACTTGACATGCACGGCAACAGTGACTCGCTGACGTGTTTCTGGATAAAAAAGTTGTCTTTCTATGTGGATTTGTTGGCATTAAGTACAGAATAGATAATTAACAGAATAGAACAACAGGATAAAGACGCAAAAGCCTGCTACAAACTATATTTATTTTTAAACTAACCGTTTTTTATTTCAATATTCTCCTAATTATGGATGGCTGCATCGAGAAAAATTAGCTACACAGCTTTAGCTTTGTTTTATTTACTTTGCTGACCAGATATATTTGGAGGATTTTCCTCATCAAGTGCATTTAATATTTACTACTTTCAGATTTGTCGAGAAGAAGCACGAATACAGACATGAAATGGACCATCGCTGCTCTCGCACAGGTTCATCTAAAGTCTGAAAATTCACCTAAAACGCTCCCTCTCCCTTCACGACTCTCCGCTCTCCCCTTACGTCACGTCCAATTCTTTTCCCTTCACCCAACACGCTACACTTTGTCGCACCTATGCACACGATAACACACACACACACACACACACACGCACACCTCTCCACCCCTTGACTCTATGGCTGGCTGGTGGCCTGGGGCTGCTTTTCATAACGCTCTAGATAACTCCCACACACTGGGTTCAAGTGGGGCAGAACCATTAGACGGGTCAAGTCGAAGCGCAGCCGCTGCAGAGCAAAACCGTTTAATGTCAACGCAAACTGGGGGGCACACCGGAGACGGAGGGAGGAGAAAGGGGGACGAAGAACAAAAAAAATTGACAAGCGAAAATGGTGCAAAAGTGAACCGATCCCATCCTGGACGCCATCTGTTTGACCCAATGCCCTCCGGTAGACGCTTCAGGTAAACAGCCTCTACAGCGGAGCCATGAGAGAGCTGAAGGTCTGTGACTACCAGCAGCTCAACTCAATTTAATTTATTTACTCACAGTTTACTAATATCTACACATTTGCACCTACTTCCTTTCTGCACCTTGTATTTGCCGACACGTTTTCATGCAGCTGCACCTCGTCTGTAATCTAAACCATCGCTTCTTGTTCAGCAACGTCAGGTTTATAGTTCTTAATGCACCACATAGTTTATCCCACTGTTTACATAGATACACTGGTAAATATGTTTTTTCTTCTAGATGTTTATATTTGCACATCTTCTACTGTACTGTACTGTAGGATTGCTGCGTAATTTCACACTACGCAATGAAAATAAAGTCGATAAAAGCGAGAGAAACGTGTGGATATATTCAACTTACTTGCACACAGATATTTAAAAAATAAACAAACCTATATTGTGTTTTCCTTCTCTGCTGAGTTTATCTTCATTTGTCGTCTTGGATTTGTGTCATTTTGTGTGATTCATGTCTACAAACACAGATGCTTTACGTCTCTCCTTTTTTTTTTAAACCACTATATTATAAATAATAAATCTTTCGTAGGTACATCGTTGTTAACTAGACTCGGTGTGTTCGTGCGCGTGACCGCCCCATCAGCCGCTCTGGCATGGCATCACATCGACAAGGCCTCGGAGGCAAGTGGAGGGTTATGCTGGCACAACGCCAGTCCTCACTTCATCCTGCTGCTCCCTCCTGTTCACCTCCTCTCCCGTCTCTTCAGCCCTCCCTCCTCTGCTCTCTACAGTTTTTTTTTTCCTTCCCCTCCTCATCCAATCATCCTTCCCTTGTTTAACCTGCCTGCATCCTGCACCACTGCCACTGTGGGGTGTGTCTGCTCACAGGAGACTCAAATCAAGGCTGAAACTGTCCGTTCATCAGCGCTGATTTTTTCTCTCTCTCTCTGTGCTTACTGTATTCTGCTCAAACTATTTGTACATTCATTCTCTATTACTTCCACGGAGTCTAAGATGTAAGAACTACCAGTCTCTTATCCACATGATTCACCCTCTCTGACTGGTCGCCCACCCCCTCCCCAACCCAGCCATCTGTGCAGAGAAAAATTTTACCGGAGGTCAGACGACAAAGAAAACTTCAGGCTTTTCCTCCGAGATGCAAAAAAAAAAAACAACCAACAAAGCGATAAAGAGACAGAGGGAGGGAAAACAGGCCAGCCCAGAATGAAAGCGAGAAAGAGAAAGAGAGTGACCACGGGAAAAACTGAGAGTGAGACGGAGCTCGACGAGCTCCGAGACTGACAAGCGCGCAACCATCTGTCATAACAACACACAGTTCATACTGGGCACACAAACTCGCACTCACACAAACACAGACGAGCCCACTCATGTGCAGTTTAAGCCCTTTATCCTCTCTTGAACAGACAAAATGTGTGCGAAGCAAACACCGCGGGCCAAACGCTCTCTAAGCGTCGCGCAGAAAAAAAAAAAAAGAGAGAGACGAGCTGTACCAGTCGGACCGGTTCATAAACAAACTCGTTACAGTAACATCTCACTGTGTGTTTAGAAGAAATCATTTCCTGCAGTGGGTTAAAATAACAGATTGAAATCGAGATTGTGTGATTTACGAATTAATTATTAACCGTGCACCAGATTTGTTTCCACAGAACCGAAGCGGTCGATGAGATTTTTCTCAACCCCTTTTTTAAACCTAAAGTCATTCTCAACTCAGAACGATGAAGTTTTTCAGGTTGTAAAGACACAAAATGGGGTAAAAACATAGCTGAAAATGACATTATTTGAACTGGGGTGACCAAAAATTGACAATCTTTTAATTCAAGCCTGAAACTGTGATCAGAATTAAGTGACTATTAATCCCACAGGTACAGAAAAGTGCTCTCTCACTCACATTAATGATAACAAACCCTAGTTCATGTTTACATACGGCCACTGGCTGTAATTTAAATTCATGTTTTATTACCAAACTACATAAAAAGAACCCTGCTGGGAGATGAGGAATCACCAAAACGTCTGTACGTTGAAGGATCTCAGCCACCGTGCTTGACTTTGTGAGTGAACTTTGTCATCTTAAGTACAATAAAAGCCGAACAATGAGTCGCAGACACACAGATAAGATCCTCTCACCTGTTCTCCTTGCCGTTCTGCAGCAGGGAGTGTCTGTCAGTGCTGGATCGGTCCGTGCACACGTACGTGTTCCTCCGAGTCATGGCACTGGCAGGGATGTTATTCTGGAGAAGGAGTCGTAGAAAGCACATAAATTCCCTGAAATCAATGCCGTTATGTGTGCATATGACCCCATTTCAAAACAAAGGCTTCCCTGCCTTGACCTCTGATTGCCCTGAGCTCTGCCGTCCAGAACGTTACGGAGTTAATCTGAGGTTAATCTGACGCCAACTCTTTACATCCACTGCATACTCTTCTCTTTCTCATCCTTAATCTCTGACCTGAGCGAACCTACAGTTGATCTCAATGTATGTGAGTGGCCCTAATCTGTTTACATACATATGTTTTCCAATAATATCCATGTAGCCTCGGTGTGCCGTAATCTGAGGAAATGGGATTAGGCGAACTGTGAGGCCTCTGCCGTCTGCACCTGCCGCATCGATAAGGGATTAAATGTCGCCTCACCGTGGTCGAGTTGACCTCCTTGCGCCGGTCGGGTATCTCGGCTTTGTTGGGATTGTGAGCGGAGCTGACCATGGGGCTGGAGGGCGTCGGGATGCTACGGGAGCCCACGGTGTTGGTGCTCGGCTTGCGGATTGACAGGCGCTCCTCCTTAAGCCCCGCCCCCTCGCCGACGCCGCTGGGACTTCGCTTGGGGTGCGTCGAACCTGGAACCGCTGGACCACCTTAGAGAGTAAACAGAGCTCAGTGAGGCAGATTTTAACGTCAGAATGAATCTACTCAACTTAAAGTCTTCATGTTGGCGTACAGAAGTCAGAGTGTCGTCTCTGGCGGTGGTACGTCGAGGCGCTGCGCTGGGCCTTGTGGCCGGAGGAGGAGGATTGTGCGCCCGAGGAGGAAGAGGAAGTGGAGTGTTTGCTCGTCCCGTTGCTGATGGTACCGGGCCGGACTCGGGCCAGGCTTAGACTGCTGCCTGACCGAGACTCGGTGCCGTCCGTCTGAGAAACACATAGACAGAAAACTGACTGGTTATTTGAAGGTTTTCTAAGGGCACAGCATAGCAACCCTGAGCTAACGGAGGCCAGACTGGTTTATCAGGTGTTTGTATGATTCAGTGAGTAACACAATAAGCATTCAGTCATGACTCTGACACAAAACAGCTGTAAACAAATTAGCACCGTGAACTGCTGACACCAAAGACATCCTCCCCATCGTGACTCAGACATCCTTGTCATTTCGTCTTGTCTCAGTGGTATACCCACCTACTAGGGATAGACTGACTATTAGCCTGATCTGCTAGCATAACTGGTGCTTGTATCGACAGATTACTGCTAAATTTGATGTGTTTGTCGTCACTCTGCAGCCTGGGAAATGTCTCTCAAGCAGCAAAAACTGAACAAGAAGCACAAGCCGGTGTCACGAACCAGGAAATTAGCTCCTCTCACAGTGGCTAAGGCTACGCTAACGGCTAGCGGCTAAATTAGCAGCCAGTCTGGAAAACAATATTTAATATTAAGACCTCAGTGTGCAATAGATTAAGAAAACTGAGAGGAACCGCAGGAGACAAACTGATCAATCTCAGTCGAGGAGATCATTTAATCACTCTTGTTTCTGTTTGACATATTCAGTTATAATCATCCTTGTCAATGAAGAAGCCTAGTTATGAATGATTGATTTAAAAAACCAAAACAACACACGTATCAGTCCATCCCTAACAGATACACAGTCAAAGTTGTACCCATGACAGTGTATTTCATCTATTAAACCTCATTACAGAAGCAGAATGAGCTCATACGCACCTCGTTCTTGCGTCCCAGCAGCAGGTATGTGGCAGTGATCTCGTCGTACTTGTGACTGACCAGCGAGTCTCTGATCTCCTCTCTGACGAAGCCCATCCCGACCATCACGTCTGAAACGGGACGAACGGCGTTAGAAAGCAGCAGAAGGACAAAGTTCTGTCTGATAAGGTCTGACGTCACCGTTCTTCTCGGTGACGCCTTACTGACACAGGAAGGTTTGTGGCGTTTCCCTCAAAGAATGAAAACTGACGTGTTTGAAGGCAACTAATGGTTCTGAGGTTCCTCTAGAGCTAAAGACTCGGTGATCTGTTCCCAGTTCACCCCTATTCAGTATTTGGGTTTCTCACCGATGCGGCTGGTGTCGGTGAAGTCCTCCCCAGGCTCTATGTGAGGCTTCAGCTCCTCGCCGTCGTAGCCCACATTAATCCATTTATCTTTCATTATTTGCTGGCGGTGAGAAAGAGCGACAGATAATACAGTTAAACCTCAGAAAACTACAATTTAATTGACTGATTTTTTCTATTTTCACATCAGCAGTTTATATCCAACACTGTGTTTTATCTTATGTAGTGATTAATCAATTTCCTCAATAGCTAATTAACTTTGTCCATCTTTTAATAAACACACAAATCGATCACTAGCATTAAACACGACAGGCAATCGTTCCTTAATTGTGTAACTGTTGAACAAACAGCTTCAAAATGTGCAAACGCCGGTCTATAAATCTGCGTTCATCCCTTTTAAATGGTAAAGTTTTGTCCTCACCTCCAGCGAGCAGCGCTTGGCCGGGTTGAGCACCAGGAAGCGGCGAAGGATTCCCTCGCAGTCCGTCGACATGTAGAAGGGAACGCGGTACTTCCCCCTCAGCACGCGCTCCCGCAGCTCCTGAACGCGGCAAACATTCACGATTAAACCACAGTGAATCAATGAATCAGCAGTCATTAAACACTTCTTCTTTTTGTTTTCATCTGGTTAACCTCTAGGGATTATATTGGTCTAACATCACCACAACGTTCAACAAAATCATTCATTTTAAAGCACATTTAACATGATTTCTACACTGTCCTTGTAGTTATTTTCACCTTGTACCAAATTTACATGAAACAGATGATGTGTAGCTACGACAGCTTCAGCAAAATGAGAAGCTGCTTCAATTTTGCTGCTTAATTAAACTCGTGAAAATGAGAGAATGCAAAACAATTACACTAAATACAATTCATTTATAATATGTGTATGATACTACATGTTTCTTTGATATAATGCTCCAAATAAGTGAAGGAAAAAGAATCTGTAATTCCTCCACCCTGCAGTCTTCGAGGAAGCTCTGAGTCACCAGCAGTGACATTTAAACTGGACCAGCTCAGCCCATCACCTTTAAGTTCTGTCCGTCAAAGGGCAGCGACCCGCTGACCAGCGTGTACAGGATGACGCCCAGACTCCAGATGTCCACCTCTGGACCGTCGTACTTCTTGCCCTGGAAGAGCTCCGGGGCGGCGTAGGGCGGAGAGCCGCAGAACGTGTCCAGTTTACTGCCCGCAGTGAACTCGTTGCTGAAGCCAAAGTCGGCTATTTTGATGTTGGAGTCGGCGTCAAGTAGCAAGTTCTCCGCCTGCAGGAAGTAGTTTGTTTGTAGTATTAGAAGTAGGTTTTATTATAGAAACACGACAAGAACAGGAAACTGGACGATGCATAATTACTGAAAAGTAATTCCAGATTTCTAACTTAAAGTTTCTGTTACTGTTGTTGCACCACTGAGATGGTACATTTTTTGTAGCTGTAAATAAACTGTAGGTTTAGCTTAATCACAGGTACATTATATATACTGCACACCTTTTTTTTCAATTAGTGTGTTTATATCTATTTATTAGAAGTCACTTCATATTTCATACATCTCTGTTTTTACAAACCTCTTTAGCTTTTATTTTTGTACACAGTTTTGTTTACTTTGTTGTACTTTCGATTAATGACATTAAATATATTCTGATTTGTGTAGATTTATGGTAATTCTCTGAGCTTTTGTAAAACTTCTCTTGTAGCTTCAAGAACCTAAAAGAGAAATCCAGCTGCTTGTTACTGCAGCATAATTCAGGTGCCTCAGTAACCTGTTAATGACGCAGATGTTAGCTTTGACATGTTTATGAACAGAAACCTGTAAATTCACCTTCAAGTCTCTGTGAACAATGTTCTTCTGATGACAGTAGTGCACCGCTGAGACAATCTGAGGAGAGAGAAAGACACAAAAGACCTCAAACAACAGAAGATAGTTTAGAAGCTAAGAGCTCCATGTACACGTCCACCATGGCTGATGACGTCACGCAATTACAGATGAAACTGACCGGATATTGCCTTTGTTTGTTTTACTTGGTCAGAAAGGTGTTTTCTGTAGTTTTGCACCGAGTTAGGGTCACACTGCACGAGGAAAGTAGTGACTATAAACAATAACTAACATGATCGTATCACGGTGCAGCTGTTGGCTGTGAAGGGACGAAACAGGTGAAGCAAAGCGGGGTTTGGCTCACCTGTCTGAACTTGGCTCTGGCCTCTTTCTCCTTCATTCTGCCGTGAGCCACGAGGTAGTCGAACACTTCGCCTGGAAGAAAAAACACCAGTTTGGTTTGTTCTCTGTTAAACATCTCTGCAACATTCCTAGCAAATCTAAACTCTTCATACATACACGTACATTTAAGAACTCCTCTGTCTTCACCATGTCACTGTGGGTGATAAAACGCTACGTATCTCAAACGTTCTGCTGTTTGCGTACTCAGGTCTGAATGAAGCCTTTATGAATTTGTTGTAGAGCATCAAAAACCACACATTAAACACTTTATTGAATTATAGCAATACTGTACAGTGTCTAAACTATGACTGAGATTAGTAAAAATATGTAGACAGCAAAAAATTCTGTTAAAATATATATATGCAACCGTAACATCTATATTTTTGGGGCATTATATATTAAAACAGGCAGGCAGCTTGGCATTCGTCGTCTTGAAACTTAAATTTATTTATTTTAAGTAAAAGTTTTAATGCAAACGGAGCTACTGCTGCTGCCTCCTTTTAAGGTATTGGAAGTAAGAGATCACACAGAGAGAGCAGCAGAGAGAGATTAAGTGATCACGAAGAAAGCAAAATAAAGAAGCTGCAAAAATAGATGAGCGCATGGGAAAAAGTCGAACAATGTCTAAGTGCAAGAACAGCACCAAAAAAAAAAAAAAAGACAGCAGAGAAAACATGAGAGAAAAGTAATTCGTCTTTTTCACAGAGACGAGTTCTCGCTAATGAAAACGGAGCACATATCCTAAATTAATTAGCTCATTAAGCCCGACTCGATAGCTGGCAAACGTGAGGGTGGTCGTCACTCACCTCCGCTAGCGTACTCCATAATCAGGTAAAGTGTCCTCTCCGTCTCAATCACCTCAAACAACTGGACTGTGAACACAAAGAGGAAGAGGTGTCATCAGCATAGAAACGCACTCACGCTCGCCGCCCTGAGATGATTTCTTGGAGCGTAACTCACCGATGTTGGGGTGGTTCAGCGTTTTCATGATGCGTACCTCTCGGAGCAGCTGGAAAAGAAAAGAACGGATCATCAGATGCAGAAAAAAAACTTACAAAACACAAATATATATAAAAAATAATGAACATTTAAGCTGTTTTATGTGTTGAAATGAAACGTTTTTATGACATGTGGCCAACGCAAGTAGAAGCATTACCTTGACATAAAAGCTATTTTAATGTCATGTTTTCTACATGACATTAAACATTTCAGCGGAACAAAATCTGATTATCGCAACAATTATGTACACTTCTTGTTAGAATATAAGTAAATAACTCAACTTTGCATTTAAACCCAATAATCCAGGGTCCATTATAAGCTAATTACAGTTTGTAATACAATTTTTTATTGTAAATACAAGCAATTTTGCAGTTTTATTGTAAATATAAGCAATTTTTCTTTAACGAGCATCATTTGCAGGTTAATTGCATGTTCTTTTTCTATCTACCTGCAAACAAGAAGAAATCTCAACATGAAATTTGCCATAAAAGCGCAACAAAATCTGATTATCACAACAATTACGTACACTTAACTCAACTTTGCATTAAAACCCAATAATCGAGGGCCCATTATAAGCTAATTGTTGTTTGTAATACATTTTTTAAAAATTGTAAATACAAGCAATTCTGCACCTTTATTGTAAATACCAGCAATTTTTGCACCTTAGCTCTTTAACCAGCATGATTTGCAGGTTAATCGCATGCTCTTTTCTATCTATCCATCCATCTATCTGTGAGTAAGAACTGCAAACCAAGAAATCTCAACATTAAATGTGCCATAATATGAAGAATGTGTGGTGACCGTCTGACCCAAACTGTACGAGTCAATCTGAGAAGAACCACCTCTGCCTATTTTATTTATCATTCATTCATCACACGAGTTAATTCATACAGCTCACAGCTGGCAAACAGAGAAAAAGCATCCTCCATCCATCTTATCCCTTCACACTCATCTTCTTCCCGACCACCCGTAGACCGGAGGCCACCCAAAGGAGCGTCCCACTGATGCGAGGCTGACAATGAGGCCTCCTCCCCTGGGTGTGCTCTCCCTCCGGTACCCCCCTACCTCCGCCTCCCCTCCTCCTCATCCATCACTGAGCTCCAGACTGCTGCCTCATCATGCCACTCCGATGCCATCTCTCTGCCTCTCTCCGTCTAATTAAAGTAATGCATTTGTCTGCAAACTCCATTTAAAAGATTACAGAAGGGAAAGCGCCAGAGCTCGACGCACGCCGACGGCTGGTTTGGGTGGAATTACAGCAAACCGAGGCGTCATATCGCAGCAGAAATGAATCAAAATCGCTTAAAAAAAACTGCCTCTGTGTGAAGCAATCAACTAATTCATCCATCACCAGTTGTTTTTATTTGGTTATTGGTGACAAAGTGTGACATTCTGACCCTGGAGGGGGAATGTGACTTCACCGTGGAGCGCTTCGCCAGCGAGAAACTCAAACAGAAATAGAAAATGAGGCGAATTAACAATGCACAGGAGATGAGGGGCGTCGAGGGAGGAGGCAAGAAGACAATAGCGAACTAAGTGAAAGAGGAAAAGAAATGAAACAGTCATTTTCCTCTTACTGCCTCGTTAAAAATTCCCCGAGAATAAATTACCCACGAAAAAAAGTGAAAACACATAAAAAAAGAAGACAGAGAGGAAAGCCGGTGAAAAGGACGAAAATACAAAAGCAGGAATGCACCGATGCCTTCATTCTAGGAGGTGAACCTCAGCTGCCCCGGGAAACACACTCCTCCCTCATTTCACTTGCTCTGCCTCCAGAACCAGAATATAAAACTCATTTTTGTGTCTCTGTGCAGCTTAATAAGAGGCGTCACTGGAAACCTGCAGCACATGTGCAAAGCCAGCCAGATGATTTTTAGACTCATTAAAGCCTTAGGAAGTGATAATTAGCACACAAATAAACAAATAATAAGACGTCTGTTGGTCTGAGACAATATGAGCTGAAAATATCTGGATATCATTTAAAGAAATACCTCCTGTGACGAAACTTTAAATGAGAATACCGGCTTCATGTTAAAAATAAAAGCTGTGCACCAAGACTGGGAGCAGAAGGGAAACAGCTGGCATGTGCACCGCTGTGTAAACAGAGCAGCTGCTCACGGTAGCCTTTCATTGTCGTACATACATGAGAACAATATCCATGTTTTCATCTGCTGGTGACTGAAATCACAACTACAAGAGGCATGCAAAGAGGACACGTGCACCTTCAGCAATGCAATGAAATGCAGGTAAACGTGCAACAAACGTGGTTTCTTTCTTTGTCCAGATTCTTTTGAACCTGACGTTCCTTCGTTCGAGGAATTTGTACTTCTCTGCGGTGACATAACTTCACAGCTACCCGAGGCGACGCATGTTTGCCGGCGACGACGTTTCGTCCACATGATCGGAGACAGATTCCTGGTATCCAGCGGACCCAGAGGAAAGCAATCAGCTCGGTTGTTCTGCATAAACACATGTCCTCCTCACATGCTGACTTTAGAGCTCATCCTAAAGCTGAGGCGTTCACGTAACCAACAAGTTCGTCTTTGTAGATCGAGCATTTGCATGTTTTGGACTGATTATGAAAAAAATGATAACAATCACATAGCCAGAGCAAAAAAACTTGTTTTTGTTGTTCTACTGTAACTCTTTAAAGCTGTTTAGTGTGTCGATGATGATGGTTTGTGTCTCTTTGTGGCCATTTTGTGGTTTTTTTTGGAGTTCTGTATCTATTGTATAGTGTATAAGTATTTATTGTCTGTGATGCTGTTTTGTGTCTCTTTGGGGTCATTTTGTGTTTTGTTTTTAGTTATTCTGCATTTGTTTTCAGTGCTTAGTGCATCTATAATGCTGGTTTTGTTTCTTTGTGGTCATTTTGTAGTTGTTCTGCATCTCTTTGTAGGTGTTTAATGCTAGTGCGATGTTGATTTGTGTCTTTTTGCAGTTCTTTTGCACATCTTTGTAAGTGTGTAGTGGATCACTGATGCTGTTTTTTGTCTTTTTGTAGTTGTTTTGCATCTCTTTGTAAGTATTTATTGCGTCTGTGGTGTTGTTTTGTGTCTCCTTGTGGTCATTTTGTGTCTTATTGCAGTTGTTTTGCATGTCTTCTCTTTCTCTTTAGTTTGTTTACGATGCTGTTTTTTGTCTCTTTGCGGTTATTTTGTGTCTTTTTATAGTTATTCTACATCTGTTTTAAGTGTTTAGTGTGTCCATGATGCTGTTTTTTGTCTATGGCTATTTTATGTCTTTTTGTAGTTATTCTACATCTGTTCGTAGGTGTTTCATGTGTCTGTGATGTTGTTTTGTGTGTCTTTATGGTCATTTTGTGTCTCTTTGTAGTTGTTTTGCATCTCTTTGTAGGTGTTTAGTGTGTCTGTGATGCTGTTTTGTGCGTCTGTGATGTTGTTTTGTGTCTCTTTGTGGTCATTTTGTGTCTTTGTTCTAGTTTAATCTAAGAAATTCAACTTTATCTCCTGTCTTTTTCATGATTTATGGCCTCATAACCGTGTCTTACTGCACAGAAGACACTTGCGAGTTCTGTCCCTGTGAGCAATAAGCTGATTNTGTTTTGGACTGATTATGAAAAAAATGATAACAATTTTCTGTTCTGTTGGGACTGGTGTTTTTCTCTTGCTGCTGTACAACAGTAATTTCCCAGACTGGGATAAATAAAGTATTTTTCTATTCTATTCTATTCTATTCTATTCTATTCTATTCTATTCTATTCTATTCTATCACATAGCCAGAGCAAAAAAACTTGTTTTTGTAGTTCTACTGCAACTCTTTTCAGCTGTTTAGTGTGTCGATGATGCTGTTTTGTGTCTCTTTGTGACCATTTTGTGGGTTTTTTTGGAGTTCTGTATCTATTGTATAAGTATTTATTGTGTCTGTGATGCTGTTTTGTGTCTCTTTGGGGTCATTTTGTGTCTGTTTTTTGTTATTCTGCATCTGTTTTAAGTGTTTAGTGTGTCTATAATGCTGGTTTTGTTTCTTTGTGGTTATTTTGTAGTTGTTTTGCATCTCTTTGTAGGTGTGTAGTGAGTCACTGATGTAGTTTTTGTCTTTTTGTAGTTATTCTACATCTGTTTGTAGGTGTTTTGTGTGTCTGTGATGTTGTTTTGTGTGTCTTTGTGGTCATTTTGTGTCTTGTTTTTAGTTATTCTGCATCTGTTTTAAGTGTTTAGTGTGTCTGTAATGCTGGTTTTGTTTCTTTGTGCTCATTTTGTAGTTGTTCTGCATGTCTTTGTAGGTGTTTAATGCTTCTGTGATGTTGTTTTGTGTCATTTTTGCAGTTGTTTTGTACATCTTTGTAAGTGTGTAGTGGGTCTGTGATGCTGTTTTCTGTCTTTTTGTAGTTGTTTTGCATCTCTTTGTAAGTATTTATTGCGTCTGTGGTGTTGTTTTGTGTCTCCTTGTGGTCATTTTGTGTCTTTTTGCAGTTGTTTTGCAGCTCTTCTCTTTTTCTTTAGTTTGTTTACGATGCTGTCTTTTGTCTCTTTGCGGTTATTTTGTGTCTTTTTGTAGTTGTTTTGCATCTGTTTGTAGATGTTTCATGTGTCTGTGATGTTGTTTTGTGTGTCTTTGTGGTCATTTTACATCCTTTTGTAGTTATTCTACATCTGTTTTAAGTGTTTAGTGTGTGTATGATGCTGGGTTTTTTTTGTCTACGGTTATTTTATGTCTTTTGGTGGTTATTCTACATCTGTTTGTAGGTGTTTTGTGTGTCTGTGATGCTGTTTTGTGTGTCTGTGATGTTGTTTTGTGTCTCCTTGTGGTCATTTTGTGTCTTTTTTCTAGTTTAATCTAAGAAAGTCAACTTCATCTCCTGTCTTTTTCATGATTTATGGCCTCATAACCGTGTCTTACTGCACAGAAGACACTTGCGAGTTCTGTCCCTGTGAGCAATAAGCTGATT